CTTAATTCGGAAGCTGACTTTCTTGACAGTTCAGGGAAATGTGGCTGGAGCACCACTGTGTCTCCTGCCAGGCAGCTTCCCTCCTTGGTGAGGGTGTTGTGATCCTCCCTCTGGTCCATGTGACCCGAGGGCTGCTCAAAAAGGAGGTTTGCCTGAAACACCCCAGGCAACAGGGCAGATGAGAGAGATCATCACTGGGCTGTGGTGCAGCCCAGTATGACCAGGCCACACACCCCTGGCAGCTCAAGCAGCCCAGCACAGGGGATGTTCATGTAATCTACACCAAACTAAAGGAGTTTTCATTTCTCCTGACATTCTCCTGGCTTCTTGTCTCTGACAGGAGCTCATAGGGTGGCCATTGGCTCTTTGACACCTTTTTGTCTGTTTTCCTGAATGTGCAGTGAAGACAGTGGCTCAGTGATCACTGATCAGCAGCAGCACGCTCAGTAGCCATTCACACACTGATCATTGCTACCATGCAGGATTTTCTGGTGATATCCAATAAAGGTCACTGAGCCAGCCCCACTCAGGCTACTGAGGAGCTGCCATCAGCTGGGAGGATTGTCTCAGCTTGATGACATATAGCTGAACAGGCCTGTCTAGCCCTCTCATCTGATTATGAGCTCCCATATATGTTATGAACAAACATGCACCTATGCAAAACAGCATCAATTCATTAGGGATTCCCCTGTTTCCCATGGTAAGAAGCACTAACTATTCATTGTAATGATGAGTCCACATAAGCCCCAAGCAGCAGCATATGTGCAAGTAGAGCATGCTTCTGAATAAACCTCAGCCAGCAGTCACCATAGAGTTTTTGAGCTGGAGCTGTGGATGGATGCCATATAGAGAGTACAACATGAAAAAAACTCACAAAGATTAAAAACAACCAACCCAACCCTTCCCTCCCTCTCCTGACTCTTCCCATCCTCAAAGGGAATACAGTGCTGCTGACTTCAGACTGCTATGCAACTCCCAAAGGCGCTGCCAAAATGCCACCGTGATGTCTCATGGCACAACGTTTCAGCCAAATGCCAGCCCAAGGTGGGTGGAGAAACCAACCAGCCCTTAATATATTGCAGCAGCAGTGATGTCACACACTCCAACCAAGTTTGCTGGCTTGCCTGGCTCCTGTCTAGAGAAAAAAGTTGACATTCAGTCTATGCCAGGCCAAGAATAGTCTCTGTAATTTAACCTCCTCATGACAACTTACTAGGCACTTAAGAGAACCACTGAAAAAAAGCCTCCTATTTAAAAGAGAGAGAAGGCTTCTGTCTGATTAAGCTCCTTGAAATCTGTACATTCATGCAAGCTTTTTCAGTAGCTCATATCAGATGGTACCTACTGCAAACATCTCAGATGTTTTTCATCAGTTCCCAAGTAGTTCCAGGGACCTAGCATTGCTTTCCTCTTTCATTAAAACAGACTCAATCCACACATCCTTAAACACTTGAACTAACTGAATCCTGACCTAAGCTCAAACACTGTACTTTGCTTGCTGGCTGCCATGTTTGTTCAAAAAGGTAAAGAAATGGGACTTTACCAAGTTATTAAACCAGCCATGAACAGCTGCTTTGCCCAAAGTTCAGAAGTTACCATCATACCTATACAAGGGATAACTAGACCAGTACTGTGCTACCGTTTCCATCCAGTCACAGTAGTGATCTGCACCTTGAACATGCAGAGTAGATAGAGCTTTTCCAGCTTGAAACATTACACTGTTGAAGTACTAGTATTATAGCCAGGCACAACAAGGATCTTCACAAGGGTTTTAGAGACAGTGACAGTCACTATTCTTTTTTTAATCAGTGGCACTGAGTTGTTTTTGTAACAGTGACTCAATCTAGGAAAATAATTGCTGAGATTACATCATGATCTCCATGTTTATTGTTACCCTACTCACTTTTCAGCAAACGTTCTCAGTTTACAAGGGATGAGATATTTCTTCAGACCTCTGTCTGTGAGATCTGAAAGACAAGCTTCCTTCTAGTTCAGGCAGCACAGCCGATAAATAGAGTCAAACATTGTGCTGCTGGAATTTAGTCAACAGCCCCCTTGATGAGTGAGCCAGAACATAATCACCAGCTCCCACAGCTGTGTTGCCTTTGCACAGCTGAGTACCACAGAAGCAGTAAAATTGTAATTTAACCTCTGAGCAAAGAGATAACTGAGTCCATATATCTGCAGTGAGGATGCCCTTTTACATCTGGCTGCAACCAGATATAGCATAGAAATTTTTGTCTTTGGTTTTACTTTTTTCTCTTTTTTTTTTTTCCACTCAGACATCTTAAATGGACCACATAAAGCTCATATACAGGTCGTATACAGGTGGCACAGAGACACATATTTCCCTCTCCATTTCCTCTGAAAGGGTGGCAGAGCAAGGACCTAGACAGCAGAAGGAAAGAAGTCATCTGGCACAACCCCTCTTTTTTGCCTGGAGGCATCACCAGCCTTTGGTGGGCAGACTACCAGGAAACCATTGCTCACTCCACTCTAAGTCCCTGCTGGGGCTGCCAGAGAGTGCTGGAGGTTGCAGTAGTTGTTTACTGGGAACCTGAATGCACTCCACAAGCTACCAAACCCTCAGGTCATCTGGTTATTATCACTCTGTGATGGATACCTGTCTCTTTTGGTAAGAAATCCTGTAAATTGCGAATGCTCAGATAAACTAACGAATACAGCATGAGGTAATCTTCAGCACATGTAAACATTTGTCTTTGTTTTTAAATTGCAGAGCTCACTTAAAATAAAAAAAATGCTGAAGTTTGGAAACATCCCAAGGCTCTACTTCTGCCAAGTCTATGTCACTGGACTATTTCTACCTCCTCACTAAAGGTGGTCGGAAATGAAGCCAAAAACAAGCATGAGAGGGAGTTCTAGAGATGAGAAGCAAAATCACACAGCGGGTATGTATGTTTACTTCCTGCTCATATAACAGTTAAGAATCAAAACCAAGAGCAGGATGGCTTTTCATTTGTCTTCTCTTTTTTTCTTTTTCTTGCTGCATTATACACAAATAAAAATGTATGTGCAGTGGAGAGAGTGAAACTCACTTCTGAAAAAATCTTTGTACAAAGTAAAATGGAGAAGCTCTATTAAGCTCATTTTATTTCTGTTATAAATCTATTGTAGTTCCGCGTAAGTCATTGGAATTTTATAGCTGGAAGGACAGAATCAAGATTCACTATGGTACTTTGAGTCTAAAAATAGGTTGGCTGTGTGTTTTTTTTAATAGAAAAGGAAGGTGAGGAATATTTTCATTTGAAGAAACAATTGAACCTGAGTAATTCATCTGAATAAGCCCAGTTCCCCTGCCTTTTAATACTTTGACTATCACTGGCTCATCATAGGGGAAAAATGTGCTCTTTTCAAGAGTTTCACTGAGATAAACCAAAGTGAAATCATGGATTTGGACAGCTGGTGGGGCTCAAATATGAATCTGTATTTCATTGCTGAGTTCTACAGTGGATCAAAGTTTGAGATGAAGACAGCTTCCACTTTCATGGACGCTAAAAACTCCTGTAGTGGTGAACTGTGGTGTTTCAGCTCATCAGAAGTTCATGATACAATTGTACTATGGAATGGAGACACAGATCAGACTTTCCTTAAGGAGTGGGTTTCAGGTAGCTCCTGCCTACGCTTTTAAACTGAGTTCTGCTGTACTTTAGTCAATACCCTGCTCAAGCCCTTGAATGTGAGAATAAGTATCTAACGAGTTTACAGAGTAAACTTTAAAGAATTTTAGTGTATAGATTTAGGGTGCAGCTGAAGGGTCTATTTTGTTTTTACTTGTTCCATTCAAAGATTCCCCCATTCTGCCTTCAGACTGATGTGGAGATAGACAAAAACTGCAATGCTGTGGGCCCTGACTGTGCATCATAATCGGGGATTAATGGAAGGCTGTGATATTTTATAATTGTGTCGAATCGGTTGCCTTTTGCTCCCAGCAGTTCTGCAACTGAAGCCAAACGTTCCCTGTGCTCCTTTAGTGGGTCTGCTAGAGTCCCCTAGGCACTCCTGCCTTCTGCTGGTTAAGCGGATATTAGCAGCCTCTTCAGTTTCAATACATCAGCCCAACTGCGTCTGGATATGGGGGGCTAAAGGGTTCTACCCCAGCAATATTGGCTTGGAACATACTAACGCACAGCAAACCCTCGTTACCTGTGGTGCCATTCTGCTTCCTCAAACTAGGGTTTTGCTCAGGGTAATTGTCACAGGAAAGCTCCAGCCTGATACAAGCAGGTTCGTCTTTCTTTTCTGCAGTCATGAGCTAACAGATGAGTGTGAATAGAATCTTCTATAATAACTTCATCTTTCACAAAATATTTTAAATTATAATTATGGTGTCTTGCCAAGTAAGTTTTATCAACTTTTCTTTCATTTTGGACATAGAGTGCGATGATGTACCTAGTGACATTCGTTTTTTTAAATAAATTTTCTCCCTAATTAATACTGAAAAATGGCTAATCTTCTTAGCTAAATAGATGCACAGCACCTGGGAGTGTTTATGTTTGGAGGTATAGAAAGGGAATGACTTGAAAATTGGCTATTATGTACTTGCTTAAGAACCTAAGTAAAGAATCTGAAGTGAAACCACTTTTTATTAATGGCACTTTCCAGAAATAAAGCTATCTACCAACAAACTACTAGCTGCTTGGATTGACCAAAATAATTATTTTTCATGTAGTTTGTTGTGTTGCTAGCATCTTGTTTAGATTACATGTAGGAGCAAATTAGTCAGTGACTGATATATCTGGAAAATGCTCTCTGTCTGACAGTGTTAATATAGAAAAATGTAATTTACAACTTTTGTCTTTGCAGAGAAGAAAGTTCCCTTCAGCTACTCCATAAGATGAATCGATGAGCAGCAGCAGCCTGTGGAGGAACTGCTTTGTGTTTGTGAATTGCAGACAGCTGGAAACACCCCACACAGCCATCTGCCTATTTGACACCTGAAATTAATCCTTTGGATAAGTCATTCATGACTCCCATGAACAATGCAGGGAAATAAGAAACATACAGAAGGCCATAGTGACTCCTCAAGTATTGGGAGTCTCCTGGATGACACAGACAGAGAGGTAAGCAACCTCACAGCCAGGGCTTTCAAAAGTTTGTGTGTGGCAGAACTCGAAGACTCTTATGATGAACCAGATCTTGCCATTTCACCTGACTTTGCTCTCCAGTTCTCTGCTAAGTTTCACCCAGAGACATTAAACCACGCCATCAAGAAGAGTGATGTCTGTAACAAGCTAACAGCAAGAAACAATGAACATACAATACAGGCTTCCACATTCCAGCAGTTACCAAAGTGTGCTCCGGAGGAGAAAAGGATTGCTAAAAATAACACCTTTGCCACGGACAGGAAAAAGCTGAATTTGCCAGTCTCTGGTCCAAGGAATGACAAACATGTTTCAAAAGTGTCTTCATTGATTAAGACATTTGACAAGACTGCAGACCAAGGATCAGGAGGTTCCCTGATAGCCATTAAGCAGCCCATTAAGAACAGCTTTCAAAAATGTAAATTAAGTCGTGGGAACGATATGGTTTTCTGGGATGATACGGACATTTTAAGCAATGACAAGGAGCTTTCTGAATTTTCTGAGGCTAGTCAAGGCAGCCACTGTCTCAGCAGCAAACATGAGCCACAGAAAAGACCTAATAAAATAGACCTGAGTCATTGTGGCTCTGATGCTTATTATCCTGTACTGATTGAAATGTCAAAGGTGGCCAAGTCCAATTTTTCCCATTCTTCTAAAAAAGCTTTAAAAAACAGAAGTGTGAAAGTTAATGAACCAGCAAAAAAAGGTAATTTTCTTCACAGTGAAAATAGTGCTTTTGAATCATGGAATGTTCATCATAAAAAACTGACTGAAAAGGAGGAATTTGTTGGTATAAAAACGAAAAAGGAAGGTCTTACATGTATGGAAGAAGCTTCAATTACTAAAGGATCCCACACACATGAACATGAATTGCCACCTGTCAAGACTGCTGTTGCTAAGAAGCAGGAGAAAGATTTTCAGGTGAAGCCAACTCCACGAGAAGCTCCTTTCAACATCCCTCTCCCAGCTATATGTGTACCTCAGGGCCCCCTCTCTTCAGAAACTGAATTTCCTGCTGCTCTTCCTCCCACACCCCCCCCTAGGACCCATGTGCACCAGGTTCCTCCTCAGCCACCCCCTGTCCCACAAGCACTTCCTCCTACACCTCCCACCCAGAAGGGCCGTCCCCCAACACCCCACACCCCTGAAGCTCCCCCTGTGCCACCACACCCAGTGCCAGCTCAGCTTTCCCCACCTGCCTCGTCCCAGGCCACCGTCTCACCCCAGCCCGTGTCCTACAGGGTGCCCTCACCCTCTCCTATGTCACAGGCACCCAGCCCCCCGCCACCGAGACCCCTGGCCACCTTAACTGAAAAGGAGGCCCTCAGTCCTCAAGCAGTCAGTACCTGTCCACCCTGGAGAAAACAGAGGGCTACAAAAGGGGCAGCAGAGAGGAGACAGACTTCAAAGGAGAAGTTCACAGCCAGTGATGAGAAGTGCTCACTGTATGAAAAGGCAGCTGGTGCCGAACGTGGTCTGGACATGACTCCTCTGGCTAAACAGGTAAACTCCCCTGGATCAGTCAGTCCTTCCTTCAACATCACTGAACTCTTAACGCCCATCATACCACCGAAACAGGAGGTGGACACTGCTGAAAGTGAGGTGATACTTCTGACACCTCCTCCCACTGAGAGCACGGCATCAAGAGACCATGAGGGCGGCACGTTTGGTGATTACAGGTCTCGGGATAGTTACAAATTGAAAGCATCAAGTCTGTTATTCAACTTGAAGGATGTGCGTAAACGTGTTAAAAGTATTTATACCCCTTCTCCCCTGTTAAGGGCCTTTGAGGAGAAAAATAAAGCTAGGGAAAATATACAGGAGAGTACAAAAATGAATGCCTCACTCTCGACCTCACAAGAAAAAAGTAACAAAAATATCGCAGGGAAAGATGAATCGAGGGATATAACCTCCATTTTGCCTGGCAGTGTTTATGAAAAGGACGATAAAACTGATTTAACTGGACATTTTACAGACAGTTATATGACTTTGAGTTCTCCCCAGACAACAGCAGACCTTTTATTTTATCAAACCGGAGACAACTTGCAGGAAGACGATTCAAAACACAAAGATCTGGTTAAAAACACAAAGGATAGTGAAAACTTCTTGTTTGGATATGAATCAAATGAACCTGATTTAAGACAAGATCTACAGTATCCAGCACTGAAACCATTCAGTAGAGAAAATGCAGATGTAACAGCTGGGCAGCTGATGCAAAATCCCCATGTCCAGGGTGAAGGAAATGAGAGACAGGCTGCTTTTCAGAATGAAAATTTTGCCTTCAAAACTCTCCCAAACCAGCTCTCACCAGCAGAGGATTTGCCTTACAGTGACATCCAAACCAATATGTTGGTACCTGGCCATGAAGCACAAGGCAAAAGAAGCACTAGTTCTTCAGAGCAATCTTTTGTGTCCACGGTAGAGCAGCCACTTCAGGAGGAGCCATTGCCACCGGTGCCCCTGGTGCAGAAGGCATGTCTTCAAGAAAGCCAGAGGACTAAGAGTGAAATGGGTGCAAACAGTAAGAAAGGCCACAAGGAGAGAGAGAAAGACATTGGTGAAGATGAACTGCAATATTGTGCTTCTGTCAGTTCTGGTGGTAGTGCAGCAGAGAAGAGGGAGGGGAAGGTTGCTGGGAATGAACAGAGGAGCTTGAAGACGGAGAAGCAGAGGAGAGGAAAAAGGGAAGATGTCAAAAGCACGGATTCTGCATCTGACAGTACAAGGGACACATCCATCCCGAGGTCTGAGGAACCACAAACACCACCATTTTCAAGCTCAACCAAACCCAGTCTGTTTATGATTAAAGATAACAAGTTCAGGTCACCTCAGGTAATAAGGGCTGTCAAGCTGCCCCTGTTCAGATCCTTTTCCCTGGATGATACAGTGAGCAGCAGTTATAAGGAAATGCAGAGTAGGTTTATGCCCCCAGCAGAGCACATCAAGCAGCATGGAAACATGTTGCACGCCCAGGAGACTGGCTGGTCGGCATCGAGGTGCAGAGGGCAGCAGAATGTGAAGGATGGCACAACAAACAGGGGGAAAGAGGACAGTGAGCTTGAATCTACTTCGGCAACACTGGATCCTAGTCTTCTGGAAGATACAGAGAGCTTTTTGTTAGGGAAGATGATGGAAGATGATGAAGAGACTTGTGCTTTGATAAATAAAGTTGGGAAAATGAAAGAGGAAAATGTCTTCAGAAGGAAGGAAAAGCCCCAGACTAGGAAGGCAAGACACAGTTTAACACAGCCAAATCTAGGTCTGGAAAATGACCAAGCACAAAACACCACCAGCTACTCTGCAGAAAGAAAGACTAACTACTTTAAGAATCACCATTTGTCTAATCGCAGAGGTGGTGCTTGTGCGAAAAAAATAATCACTAGGGCAACAATTTCCCCTGTGACTGGCTCCATATCAGAGGACCACACATATTCTCCTGTATCCCATGAAGCTTTAGAGGACATCCTACATACAGAAGGTGCACCAGTTTTGTTAGACAGTCTTGCATGCTCTGCTGTTACAAGCCCCAGGTCAGGCAGTACGATGCACTCTCTTGCTACCAGTTCAGCATCAGAAAAACTAACAATTTCTGGCCTTGGAGAGACAGAGGATGTTATAAACCCTGCCTTGCTGAACAGGACACTAAAGAGCCAAGCTGATACGTCTGCAGAGATACTTGATTCGTCACGGAGGAATTTGCTTTCTGTTTCTGCAGGGGAAGCTGAGATACTGGAGCCCAGGGGACTCAAGGAGAGAGCAGCAGGCAAGCCTCCCGCTGTGCCACCGAAAACAGAAAAGGCTCTGCGGCGGGCCAAAAAGCTGGCAAGCAGGAGAAAGAAAACACAAGAGCAGCAGAAAAAAACTCCCACTGAGCATACAGATGCTGTAGGTAGAAATCTTTCTCATTCTGGACAGACGCTAGCATCTCCCTCACCCTCCGGATATTCTCTCCATCCTGCCCCCCACTCCACTTTTACTCCCACAGAAACCAGGACAGGAAGACCCAGTGGTGCATCAGCAGTAAGCCCTTCACCCTCTTCAACCCAGCGTAAACTCCTCCAAGACCCTGACTCTGGTCAATACTATGTAGTTGATTTACCAGCTGAAGTTAATTTAAAGACATTTTATGATCCAGAAACTGGCAAATATGTTCAAGTGTCAGTCCCTTCCTCAGAAGGGAATGTATACCAGCCCACCTCTTCAGAAATTATGAATTCTCCCTATGCCTCCTACCCTAAGGTGCTGCCTTTACCAGCTTCATCTGTAGCAGTGCTGAAGTCACCTTCTCAGCTCTCTGAACCTACCTGGTTAATGACAGCTGTACCAGGAGAACCAGCTGAACTACCTGAAGATGGCCAGCAAGACTACAGATACGCTGAAGCTGGGGATACTCAGTCCTATATTGAGCCAGCCTCTTATTCCTACAGGCAGGGTGGTGAAGAAACTCAAGTTTTCTTAGGAAAGGACACAAGCCCAACTCCAAATGCTGACATAGTGTCCCTCACTGATTTAGATGATTTTGCTGCTGAAGGAGTGTCTTGAAAACTGAAGTAACAAAATATGCCAGCTGGAGTTTTTAAGAACTGTTGAACAGACATACACTCACAAAAGCACAAGCAGATTTGATGTTTGTACAACACTTTATGTCTGAATCTCATTGTGGTTTGGATAGGAAGGAAAATGAAAGCTGACCACATTGAAAGATGCAAGGTGATGATCACTCTGAAGAAGAGTGAAATTGAGTAAGCACCAAATTATTGGTGAAATGAACAGGCAATGCCTGTTCAAGGCACAAATAAACACAACAGTATGAAGCCATTGCTTGCTACTACTGCTGCTTTGCCACTACGGTGCCCGAGATTGCCAAAGCAAATGCTCTTTAGCCCAGATGTGTTGCATGATCTATGACACGAAGTAAAACCTGTAAGACCATCCTGTCCATCCTATGAGATGTAGGACAGATGCCACACCTGCTGAACTTTCCTTTCTCACTGCCTTTGAGCTATGTTGACAGGCAGAACAGTACGCCATAAACCCAAGATTCCTTTTTTTGCACACATTGATTCCCCAGATGTCATTGACAAGAAGATTGTATACTGGATGCACACTACAACAGGCGTGTCAAAAACCATTAAACAATAAGAATACAGATACAGCTGCTTCAGACTTCTCATACACTTTTGCGGTGCCCACTAAAATGCTGCTGAACTCTCTATACTTCATGATGATCTCCTGTTATGGTCCCCTCGAGTCAGGGATTATTTATAACACAGCTTAAAACTTCAACTCATCTTCATACTTGGCCTGAAAAATTTTGTTAAGGAGCAAGGTTGAATGAAATCCTGTAACAGTATAGTTGTTGTTATTGTAAAGATGAGATCTTTGGTTATTATAATTGAAAGGCTTTTTGTTCTGTTTTGTTTTCAGACTCCTACTGAAATACAGTGCTAACTTTTAAAACTTGAAAAAAGTACCTAATATTGGTCTTACATTTTCTGTGATTTAAAAAAAAATAAAAAAAAAAAAAAGAGAGAGAGAGAAAAAGAGTTACAAAACATCCAAAGTATTAATTTCTAGAAAAGTGCTTCTTTGGATTATCACTTTTCCTTGAACAACTTGTATCAAAATATCCCTCATTCTTGCTTAAGATCTTTTTTGTTCAGAACCTGTGTTGATCCCATCAGAGCCGTCCTTTCATCAGTGCTATTTGCTAAGTCATTTCCCCTAGAAAGGCAGAACAAACACTAAGGGCATCTCTTAATTGATTTCAGTGGGGGTTGGATTTGGCCTGTAGTGATTTTCTAAGGTTCGTTTTACCTGTTATGAAGAGTTGTGTCAGATTTGCCATTTTGTGATTTGGCAGAGACAGTTGCAGCAGAGGTGTGGGGTGAAAATGGAGAAGATTGTAGCAGTTTGGTTTGTGCTTTGAGCACATTTGGGCAAATGCCCAGATTTGAATAAACATTTATTTTTCAGTCTCCACCCTTGCAAGTTTTCAACACCTTACTGGATAAAGCCCTGAAAACCTGGGCTGGCTTCAGAGATGACCCTTTTTGAGCAGAAGCTTTATCCAGAGACCTCCCGGGATCTCTTACAGCCTGAATTGTCCTATGACCCTGTTCTGCAAACATTGACATATTTAAATCAACTTTGACTTGAAACTCAGAAAACGTAGTCTCCCCTGGGAAAGGGCTCATTTTGAAAGAAATAAAAAAGAATTTGAAAATAAGGAGTGTTTCAGGAACAAGGAATAATTTTCAAGTTGGGGACATTAAGGGAGATGGCTCCTAATATGATTTTTCTTTCTTTTTTTTTTTTGTCACAAATATTTTGCTAAACTCACATGTTGCAATTCCCTGTTACTGTCACTGAACACAGCGTAACGCCTCTTCAGTAGAGAGCAGAATGTCATCTACATGTTAAAATACAGATAAATAAATCTATCAAAGATTTTTGCATTATATTTAAACAGAATCTGAAAGCCCAGCAGAGTACACAAGCCATTTTTTTGTTTGCTTCATATTCTGAATTTAAATGCTCTTAATGGCCACAAGTCAAGAACTAGGCAGGCCTTCAGAGGGATGGATAAAAGCTTGCTTTCAAGGAGGAGACTCTGGATACCAAGTGTGTGTGCACAGGTATAAAATAAATGGTAATCTGAAAAACAACATATACAAGTGTATTAAAAAAAAAAATCTTCTTTGCTTGGTTATCTGTCATTTGTTTTGTAGATGTGCACATTTCTTCTGCACCCTTTTTTCAAGGGCCTTCTTAAACTCTTAGTCTGTCTTACACATGTCCCAGAGGGAGTTTTGACCTAGAGAATTTGTACTTAAATGAAAAAAACAGAACTGAGGAATTTTGAAAACAAATATGAAAGCGATTCTCATCATGAGCTTTCCCTAGGTTTGCCACAGAGAGTAAATATTACAGATGTGTTGCTCCAAGTCCCAGCCTGGTATTGACTCCATTTGACTATGAGCCCACCAGCAAACCTCTGCTTTAGATCTCTGGTCTAGATCACAATGTTGGCCAACTTCTTGCTAGGCCATGGGAATGTGTGTATGGGAATGTGTGTATATACAAACACATGTGCATGCACACAA